GTCCAGGGAGAGAGCGGTGGATTTTAAAAAGCAAGGTTTCTTTGTGGAGAGAACACTCATAGGGCAGATCAGGACTATAGATAGATGCCTGGCTCTCCCAGCAGGCCCTGTCCCCCTCCTGCCACCTCGGCATAGGCCCCAGACTGCACCTGCTGGATGGAATCCCGCAGTGCCACTGAGGTTAGACACCTTGCTGCTCTTCTCTCCAAGAACACCACCACCTGGCAGGCTTCCAGGAATAGTCAAACCCCAAGGACATCACTCTCAGGAATCCACCCACTTGGAAAGCAAATGCACAGGATCTCATGACCATACTGACAGCTTGGTAAATCAGCATTCAGATACATAGCCGCAGCTGGGCATCCAAGTGCTTTCTGAAGATACACCACGGCCACAGCAGCGTAGACACACACACACACACACACACCCCTTCACAACACACAGACTTACTAAGCAAGGTCACATGAGCCTTCGGGGTTTTCAGTACTATACTGCAGATAATGGTGGCAGTAGGTCTCCATCCTCAAGAAGCACATGACTTTATCTGATAAACAAAATGGTCATCAGGAGAAAAACTGTATATAGATGATTAAATGCCACTCAGTACAGTGGGACTAATGGCTCCTGGATCTCAGGGCGTGGGCTGATAAGCCAAAGGAGTTGGCCTTGCAAAGGTACAGTGCCTTTGGTAGAAATAAGGAAATGCATTCCAGATAGAGGAAGAGTAACAGCAAGGCCAACAGTGGGACTTCCCTGCTTGATGTCCGGTCGCCTTCCAATCAGCTTGCCTATAGAGATTTTCTCAGGTGGGATGTTTGAGGAAAACAGTGGTTCTTTTTTGCTCCTGATCCCAGGCATAGAGTGAAGCCAGCCCTGCCATCCTGACAGCAGACAGAACCACAAGTCCAGGCCCATGCCACACTGCTGGGTGAGGCAGGGTAGGCTAACACTGGAACAGCACTGCACAGCAGGGTGTGCTATATTGCAGTAAACCAACCCAATCAGACCCTCTTTAAGAGAGGTAGGGGCCATGGTTTGGTCTCCAGCCTATGGCACTATTGGGAGGTAGTGGAACTGTTAAGAGGGGGGCCTAGTGGGAGGGTCTTCTGGTTACTGAGGCATGTCCTTGAAGGGGATAGTGGGACTCCAGCTTCTTCCTGTCTCTATGTTTCTACCATGAGGTGAGCAGTTTCTACACATTCCCTGCCATGACTGCGTTACTACAGGCCCAAAGAAACCTGCGCAAGCAACCATGGACTGTAACCTCTGAAACAGTGAGCCCAAGTAAACTTTCCTCCTTATAAATTGGTTATTTCAGGTATGTTGTTATAGTAACAAAAAAGCTGACTAACAGAGTAGGGATGCTGATGAACACAAAGAATGGCTCACCCCTGGGAAACAGACCTCTTATTCTGAGGTTCTATGACAGTGATGGAGAACCTTTTAGAGCTTTCAATGATACGAACAGATCACTGCAGCATGAGTGCCATAGATGCACTATCATTGTTCTATGAAATGGGTCAATGACCTGGTCTGGAACTTTTGAGATTCAAGTGAAGTCATTTGGCTACAGAGATGATACCCCACTTCCACGTAGCCCAGCACTTGTCATCTTTCCATGATGGAAGATCACTTCTTCCCCAGGATTCCTTAAAGATGGCAATCTGAACCCAGGACTTCAGATACTCTGAGGGAAGGGGAAGGCCTGGGGGGAAGTATGTAGAAAAGGGGAGAAGAATGACTTCTATCCAAATCTCTTTTAGCTCCATGAGCACCTGTTCCAGACTACTTCTGAACTTCTGATATACACTAAGCTCTGGCCAGATAGAATCCAGACATTCCTTGGACCAGACCTGAATGGAAAGGATGCCATGACCTCAACCTCTAGTCCAGTTAAACCCAAAGTAGGGCAAATTCTCCTGTTTCTTGTCATGGTTGGCATGAGAAGGTCTTGATTGGCAGTGCCAACACAATTTCATACACTTCATAGGATTTGCTCTGCTCTTTGGGAAATGAAGAAATACAACCCAGAGAAGTTATGAAGGTCCAAGGTCACAGCAGACTGAGGACTAAATGCAAGCCACTCTGACTTGCTCCTGAGCCCTAGGTGCTTCTCAAATTATACTGCTCCTAAGGGGAAGGGGCTCGATCTCTGTTCCTTCTTGGCTGCTGTCTGGGATCCTGCCTATACCCCTGAAATGTAAGTGAGGCTTCCTGAAACTTCTCAAGCAAGTGACAAGCTAGAGAGTATACAAGCAAGGAAATACTCCCCAAATCCTAGATATGAAAGAGGAGCATTCAGAAGAAGCAGCAGCAACAGCCAAAATCCATCAGACCACCATGAACTGACACATGTGGTTCTGGGTTTCTGGAAATCCCAGCCCGAAGCAAGTTACATAACAGGATGAGGGGAACTATCAGATTAGAGCAGTGATTCTGAACACAGGTTCTGTAGATCAGGTTCAGAGGCTCTATGTACCCTCTGAAATTCCTTGCAAGGCCGGGGGAGGGGGGACCACAGTGTGCATACCTGTAATCCCAGCACCTGGGAGGCTGAGATAGGAGCATCACGGCGAGTTTGAGGCCAGCCTGGGCTATACAGTGAGTTCAAGGCCAGCCTGAACTACATAGAGAGACTCCATCTCAAAAAAAAAAAAAAAAAAAAAAAAAAGACTGTGTGTTATGGTACATTTGTCTAGGAAGAGTGTGTATAGCTCTTTTAGGGCCTTAGAAAGATCATGGACTCAAAGACATTGAAAACTACAGGAATTAAGGGTCCCAAGTTCCCTATAGCCCTGTATATGCGGAGTGTATACAAATCTGGGTGCTGAAAACATGCTATCTAACGTAGGAGAATGTGCTATGTGAAGAGGGTGGTGGTCACTGTCCTGGCTACTGCTACTTCCTGGCCCTGTTTTTCCCACGTTCACCATGGGGGTCCCAGGCATTCCAGCACTACTGAACACCCTGCACTCTGCACACCCCTCATCATGGTCAAGCCCTGGTGTTTTCATGTCTCTCACTGTCTGCTAATTTTCTTTCTGAACATCGCTACCTCGAGACTAGAAAAATAGAAAGGAAAATATGATTTAGAAGAAAGAGTACAAATTCAGCTGGACATTCCCCAAGTCAGTCTCCGGGTCCTGGGAAATCCTCCTCTGTCATGGGCATTTGGACACACCTGCACTTTCCTCCCATAATGCCCCAGGGCGGGTGATCAGCTCCTGGAGGGGTGCTGATCTCTGCATTCCAGGAAATGTGGGGCACCCTCACCCTTCAGACAGAGGTCAAGGGAGCCCTGGAAAGGGGGAAGTTCAGTTAACCCCTTCTTCTCACATCAGGCCTCCCAGTTCTCAGGCTGAGGAAGATGCCAGCAGACCCAGCTGCAGAGGAAATACTCCTGGTCTCAAGACCCTGCAGGGAAAGGCTCAATTTTCCTATGGTATGGAATCACACTGGGGAGTCTGAAATATCCGTGGTCTCCGGATCCTGACTCCTCCTGTGGGTCTCTAACTGGCGCTCAAGAATTGTGGCTTCATCTTGTTCTCTTATCCTCCAAGAAAGGCTTGTCAGCTCCTTCTATATGTCTGAATCCCTACAAAGCTCCCCTCCCAGGACCCAGGGACAAGCACATGACTGGTAAAACCTTACTGTCTAGTGTGCAAATGGGATCTGATGTTCTGGAAAATCCATTACTTTGCTTGAAAGTGAAAGAGTTACCATAGAGGTGGTACATCAGTTTTCAATTTTCAAAAGACAAAGAGAAATACACGCAGGCTAAGTTATTAGGTTTGGAATGCCATCTTTCTTTGATGATTCAATTCAGGAAAGGCACCTGGGGATCCAGTAGTCTGAAAAAGCACAGGCAAGGGTGGACCTCCCATACCTTCCTAAGTCCCCAAGGCTCTGTTTCCCTCTTGAGTACTGCATGGCTTGGGAACACATACTCCAGAATAACAATGCACCAGATACAAAGGTGGAGGGCGGTGCTGTAGCATCCAGGAGAGCCGTGGATATGATTAGATTTTGGGAGCTCCTCCCAGGAAGGCTCTCCTACAGCCTCTTTCATCAGTGATGGGAAAACCTCAAAAGGTCGCCTGAGGTTGCCCCTCCCCCACCCACCACAGACCGCATCTCCACTGGGGACATCCCAGCAGGAATATAGGTCCTGGACATGTATACTGCACAAAGCCAGGCCAAGAAAACCAAGGGAGCTTTGCATCCTCCTACCTCTCTCCCACTCAAAATCCATGGCACAGGCCATCCTCTTCCCACAAAACCGAGGAAAGAAAACAAGCCAAAGAGAGGTAGGTGGGTGAAGCAACAATCCTAGGGCAGCTCCCAAACAGGGGGAACTGGCCAGATCTACAGTCTGTCCCTAACCAGTGGGACAGGATATGCTGAGAGCAGCGTGTGGCAGCCTCCTGGAGTTCCTGCTGCCCAGGAAATCAGCCTAACTCGCTTCTCTCCACGCCTTTCTTCTCAGGGGCTCATGCCCGAGGGCCCGCCAAAGTTAGGCGAGGTGAAACTGCTTCCTGAAGCACAACCCAGGATGCCTCTCCGGTGGGCAAATGACCTAGGGACTGGCACCTCACCAACCCTAAGGACATGCCCTTGAATTCCCGTCGGGAAGCCGGGTTCAGTAGATAATTGCGCATTTCTTGAGGACCCCTGGTTGAGAGTGCCAGCCGTTGAGAAGAGAGGAAGAAAAGATCCTTGGTCCAGTCCTGGCGCGCATCCCTGCTCCCCTCCCACCGACCATCCCTGGAGACGTGCGGAGGAGAGATGCAGGGACCTTAGTCCAACAGGTCCCTTGCCAAGGGCCTCACCCGGCCAGCCTTCCTCCGCCCTGCCCTGAGGCCCCAAATTCAGCTGGAGTGCTGAGGCACCTGCTACCAGACAGGGCTCCATCCCCGCCGAAGGGGGCCTGGGCGGTGTCCCTCGCCTCTCCGGCTTTCCCGGGAAGGGGCGGGGCGCTCGCGAGGCCTCCCCTCACTCACCTGGCGCAGGTGCTGCAGCAGCGTCCCCGCCTCCTCCCTCCGGCCCTGGCGCACCATCCGCAGCAGCTCCTGGACCATGCAGACACGCCGGTGGTAGGGGGGAAGCGCCGCGCCGGCGCCCGCGCGCCCCGCCTTGTCCCCGGCGCGCAGCAGCAGCGACGCCCAGAAGTCTGGCCGTTCGCGGCGGGGGCCGGACGCTGCGCCGGGGCTGGCTTTCTCCGCCAGGCTGCCCTTGGTCTGCCGGGTACCCATGCTGCCGCCCGCCGGGACGGTCTGCGCTGGGCCGCGAGGCCGCGTCCCCAACCGGCCACCCGCCCCTCAGCCGCCTGGGCGTGCCCGCCTCCTGGGCTGCAACTTTGGGGGAAACTGTTGCGCGCGGGCGGCACGGAGGCGGGGGCAGACGCTGCCCGCGCTCCCCTCGCTCCTCCCTCCTGGCTCCCAGGGCCCGCTCCCCCCTCCTGGCTCCCAGGGCCCGCTCCCCCGGCGCTCGCCGCCCGCTCGCCGGCCCCGCCCCGGCCCGGCTGCCCCGCCCCCGGCTCTCGCCCGCGCTCCTCCCTCCCGCTCTGCAGAACTCCCGCTCCTTTCTCGCCGCTGGGCGCGGGGCTGCGAGTAGTCAGGCGCCCCCTCCCTGCGTTTCCTTCCCGCACTGCGCCCCCTGTCGGCCACCACACTGCGCTTCCCGGGACCATGGCACGGTCGTGAAGGGGGCTTGCAGTCCCCGGGGGCTATCGCACTGGGTCCCCTTCAGGTTACTCAGATGCGTCCAAGACCGAGCCCACAGGAGGGGATGGGAAGATGTCAGTGCAGCGCGCCCGGCCAGTTGGTGAAAGTTTGGAGCGGGGCGGGGAGGGGGTATCCTCTTAGTCCCAGGATCGGGTTTCTGAAAGTGAGCGCTGTTGAGGATCTGAGACCAAATCTTCGAAGGCCTCCTGGGCCTCACACCATCCTACAGACCTCCGTGGAACCTGGGCATGCATTTTTAGCAAGCCTCGCTGGTGTTTCCTATGCTTGCTCCTTGGAGATCTGCCTGACTTGGAGGCATGGATGGGAATGGCAGTTGGTGTGCGAGGATGTGGGTTGTGTGTCTGCCCTCTTATGGTTCAGTTGCTTCCATCAGTTACTCAAAGGATCTGGACCAGAAAGGTGTGAGGAACTCCTGCCTTCTCACCTCTCACCCCCACACTCTGGAGAGGGGACCTCGGGGAGTCCTGGTACAACAGCTCCAAGTAGGAGCTGCTGGCACTCCTGGTGCTTTCGTCCTTGATCACCTCTGCCAGGACCAGCCTGTATGGGACCAGAACCCTGGGACCTGATGGTGCTTGGAAAGCCTACCAGGGCCCTACCAGAGAGAAGGTTAATGCACTGGAGCCGCTGCCCTGGCTCTAGCTGCAGGGTGCAGGACTGGCAGCAACTGTGTGAGCTCTGCTCTCATTCGTGGTGGTGCTGCTTTAGGGCTTAGGAACATGTGGACTGTAGAGGCAGGAGAGCTGGATCTCATATCCCAGAGAGTTGGACTCCACCACTTAGTCCTGAGTATCAGGCAAGCTCTCAACTTCTTGAGTCCACTTCCTTATTCTGTCATATTGGAATAATGACACTTTGTCAAGCATTAGGAGAATAAAATAGGTGGATACTTTTAAAGAAAATTGTTTAGTGATGCTTGTTGAAGCATGGTAAGACATTTTATTCAGGATTATAATCAGTGGGATTTTGCAGTAGGGGAGAGAGACTGGGTTCAGGTCTGAACACAGTATGGACAAGTGGGAATTTGTAGGGTGGAAAATGCCTAAGAGGTAAGGGGTAAAGGGAGATTCTCGGTAAACAAACCTTGCAGGATTCTGCCTGAAGATAGGCCAGGGTGACTAGACAGCACCTGGGGGATGGTGGAGGATGAGGAAACTGGTCAGATATTGAAGGTGATCAGATATCCAGAGTTCTGGCTAAACTGACTTAGGTTTTGTTTTGTTTTTTTTCTTTCCAAAACTGTATTTTACAAGGAAGTGCACAGGTAGCCTAGAAGATTTAGGAGCCTGGCTAAACTAACTTTGGCCAAACAGAGCATCTTGTAAATATATAAACTCCAAGTAGAGGTATTCTGCCAATGAGTTACTTTTCCTACTTGTGGACAATAGGATCTTTCTGTAGGTGTCTTTTCCATTAACCCCGAGTACCTTGAGCATGTGTCTCTTCCAGCAGGCTTCTCTTCCCTTTGGACAACCTGCTTCCAAATGCCCATTTCTGCTGGAAGAGAATACTGAATCTTCTTATAATCTGGCTTACTGGAGCTTAGAGCAGCTCTTTCCAAAGTTACCTGTATGCTTTGTGTACAGGACCCACCTTTTGGCATTTGAGGTACCCAGTTTAGGACATACTTCTGTGTCTCTCATCTGTAGCTTATAGGACCCCCCAGCAAGGTGGCCATCAAGGAACTCTTCTCACCATGCCCCTTCCTATGGATAGTGGGCACCATCTACCTGGAGACGGACCACATAATCTGAGTTTGCAAGTGGGCTTGCTTAAAGTATGTGACTATGACAAATACCAGTTCCTCACCTGGGGATCTGAATGTCATTCCTCTCCTCTTCTTTGGAGACCTGAAATCATCCTCATCCCTGGGCTCTAAATTTCCCCTCCAACCTTTCCCTTTTCTGGCTTGTGCTCCGTGTATGACATACTCAATAGTCTTCTATCCAAGAGACAAATTTCAGGGCTGGGGATGTAGCTCAGTGGTAGAGCACTTGCCTAGTATGTGGTTAGGCACTGGGTTCTGTCCCTGGCACGGGGGGGGGGGGGGGGGGGGGGGGAGAGAGAGAGAGAGAGAGAGAGAGAGAGAGAGAGAGAGAGAAAAGAAATTTAATTTCATTTGTGCCTACCTGTTGTGGTTGCCTGTGTCCCACAACTCTCCTTTCCTTTCAGCTAAGATTTCTAGAAATATATTTGTTGTCACACTTCTTTACTTCCATTCATTCCTCTTCCACTTTGTTTTGGCTTCTGGCCACATTACATCATCGAAATGCCTCTTGCCAGTGACCTAGTTGCTAAATTCAGTGGTCACTTTCAGTCTCATCTTGGTTGACTTTTAAGCAGCATCTGATCCTATTGCCTATACTGTTTTTTTTTTTTTTGGTACCGGGGATCGAACTCAGGTCCTTGTGCTTTCGAGGCAGGCAGTGCCTATACTATTTTGATTGAAACCCCACTCCCTTGGCTTGTGGGGAGCTATTCTCCTCTAGATTTCCTTCTTTATTTACTTATTTTTGCGGTGAGGGTATTGAACCCAGGGTCTTGCACATGCGAGGCAAGTGCTCTACTACTGAGCTAAAGCTCTCGCCCAGTTCTCTTCTTGAGTTCCTCTAGAGCATCTTTTCTTATCCCCATTCTTTACTGGTTGATATTATCCAGGGTACTGCCTCAGATCTCTTTCTAAGCAATGTTATTTTTATTCATGGCTTTATTTGCCACCACACACTGACTGGCTCCAAGCCTGTCTTTCTAGCCTATAAGCTAATAAGCTAACCTGTTATTGATTCATGGTTATTGGTGGAAGACACAAGACTTTGGGCCTAGAGAACTAGGACTTCATCACTGAGGGCACAGCATGTAGCATGAGCATCAGCGTATTTGTATCAGTTCTCCTTGTCTCCAGGTCCCACAGGGGCAATGTGATGGGCTCAGATGGATGCTCCACATGCAGCTGGTTTTCGTCATAGCTGGGAAACACTGAGCTTGGGGAATCTACTGCTTATATGGAATGCACTAAACAAGCCTGCTCTTTGTTCTAGAGGGACAAGGGTTGCTTGCTGCAGACAAGTGCAGGTAAAAAGAAGCCAGGGGTCTTACATTCTTGGCACACACAACAAAATGTACAAGAGTACCAGAGACCCATGAAAGATCATCTCTTCCAACAGCGGGCACTTCACACTCATGAAATGAGCACATCCTCTTCTAGGCCTCCCTCCAAACCCACCTGCTTCCTGTTAGGAACAGCAGGCCAGAAACCCTGGAGTCATTGGGTGCTCATTGGTCTTTTTTAGTACCTGCACCTGGTTAACCAAGTCTAGTTGATGATGCCACAGACGATAGCTCTCAATGGCCACCTGTTCCCTGTGTGCTTGATCTTGGGCTGTTTCATTTGCATATGTTATGCTGTTTCATCTTTTTTTTTTTTTAAACAAGGTCTGGCTTTGTAGTTCAGGCTGGCCCTGAACTCACTTAGTAGCCTAGGCCGGCCTTGAAATCTCGTCAGTCCTCCTACCTCTGCCTCCTGAATGCTGGGATTACAGGTGTGCACCACCATGCCTGGCCCTATTTCATCCTTTTAACAACTGTAAGATAGTCTTTGCTATTGTCCTGATCTCTCAGGTGAGGAAATTGAATCTTAGTGGGGTTAAATGACCTAGCCAAGTTCACATAGATAGTAAAGGAAAGAGCTGGTATTCACACTTAGGTCTGTCTGACCTGAAGACATGCCATGTTTAGTAGTTTGGAGTGAAAGTGATAGAAGTCATGGATAAAAGGAGAGAGTAGGTTGAATGGTAAATGTCCTCCATATTTCCATGTGTTCCTCAGAATGGCACTATATACTAGAAGATGGTAGAAGCTTTAAGAGGTAGGGACTAGTGAGAGATCTTTAGATCATTGGGGGCACTCCTTTTTTCTTTTTACTTTTTTTGGTACAGGGGATCAAACTCGGGTCCCTGCACTTGTGGGGCAGGGGGAGGAACCACTGAGCTAAATCCCCAGCCCTTTTTACTTTTATTTCAGAATTTATTCTCTTGATCATTTGCTTTTAAACAAGTAACTTTTGTACCATGGAAGCATTGGATTTTTCTCACCATCAAACCTGGAATTAAGGAGTTCTTGTTGTGTTTTTTGTTGGGATATTCACTATAGTTTCTAATCATGTTGTAAGGATTTGAAGTACAAAATGTCTAATGAAATTTAAAGAGCACTAAGATTATATAAATTTTTAAATGAAAACCTTGGATATATGCATATCTAATATATTGGTCAAACAAAACATTTCATCTAGTATATCAAGCTCTTATTACAATATTTTTCATTTATAGTATTAAGCTCTTTATAATCATGCAGAAGTTGTTTGAATATCCCTTTTATGCAGAAGAGGCTGAAGTTTAGGAAAAGTAAAGCATTTTCCTAACACCTCCTTGATAGTAATTAGAAAGCTAGGGCTGGGGATTTAGCTCAGTGGTTCTGCCGCCTGCCTCACAAGCACAAGGTCTGAGTTCGATCCTAGGTACCAAAAAAAAAGAAAGCAGGAATTCAAAACCATCTTTGCACCATATTAAAGAACATAGATGCTCCATATATATTTTAAATTTTTTTCCTTGAAAATGTTACACAATTGTTTTGGAACCAGGGGAAAGACCTTGGATAGGATGGAAGAACAGAAGCCA